ACATTCAGCTCGCAATAATTCCATGCCATGAAATCAGAAAGGACAATAAAAATATGTTAAAAATTTTGTGCAAGTACTACAATTACTTTGTACAAATCTTTGTCTCCCATATTTAAAATAGCTAAGAAACACAAACACTACTAAGGTGTCGTGTCTGTGTTGGACAATGAAGATCAGTAGAGGCAACAGTACAAATAAAATATGGGAACAAATCAAATCCATGCATTAATTTGAAACCCATAAAGCAAAAAGTTTAATTGTTACCAAATGGTTCATGAAAATGTTACTGGTATTCACAAAATGGAGGCTTCAATAAAGCCTAAGCCACAAGTGTCCTTTACTCTGCAAGTTGTCCTCACGAGACGACACCTTCTCTGTTTACGTGTGATTGTGTGCATGCACGCATGCGTCCACATGTATATTGTGTTTGCCTATTGTCCCTCTCACTCCCCCATAACATTTCTCTCCTTTACGGTCTCTCCATCTTGCTTCCTTCACAAACTCTCTTTAGCCTCCTATATCAGCCCTTGTAACCCTAGTCTAAAAGGTTAAACAACTTCTATCTTCTTCTCTGTTCTCCACCCTCAATCCCCAGATGAGGTGGGTAAAAAAACTTATCCCATTTGGTTGTTTCTAGTTGGCTGAATTCTTTTAACTACTGTGATATTTCCAAGGAATTTCCATACGGACGCATTAAGAATTCATCAATCTAATTTGATTAGTGAACGTAATGTGTAATCTTTCTTGGTCTCCCTTTTCTTTTTTAAATTTCAAAAGATCACGTCTTAGAATTTGACTGAAAAACATAGAATCCAAGACGCATCATTTGAAATAGTACATAGGCTGACTTATTAAATTTGACATCAACATCATCCAATCTTAGCCATAAATCTTTCCATATACAACTGATTCAAACAACAAAGTCTTAAATCACTACAATTAAAATTTTATAAATTCCACATTCCCTAAAATGGAAACATTGAAGCTGCAATCCAAAATCAAAGTACTAACTCACTCTGAGTATATCATTTAAAGTTTAGCGTCATGTTTGGAATTGTCCTGCCCAACAACAGGCTTGGATTGGCCAGTCTAACTAGGACTAACTAGTGGCTTAAATTATACCATAAAAAGAGTTTAAGAACAAGGAGATGCAAACCTGAAGCCAGGGAGATGGGATACCATAGTAAGTGTATTCTTGTGGAACATCCTGGTTCCTAGCAAGCCTTTCCAATATTTTCACACATTTTGGAAGACTACTCCAATAGGCATCGTGATTATTTGCCACTAGAGCAACAAGAAGGCTAATAGAAGATGTCAAAACACCCAGATCACGCTCATCTAACAGCTGTGCCATTCGATCTGACCTGAAAAATGAGGTGGAAAAGACAATCATAAAAACATAAGTTACCCTGGTAAACTTCCAGCGTCAAAGAATATATAGTCATGCTTACCAGCCATCTACATTGACAACATCAGGGTTTTTCCTGTACAGGCGAAGGAGACACAAAGCAGCCTTCTTTCTCACAAGTGGTCTGCAACTACTGGAAATCTGAAGGAAAAATAAAGGTTACCATCATTCACATCACATTAGGGTTGGTTGTGTTACCATTATTCACATTTCACTAGTGTCAATTGAACTCCACAAATGCGTTCTTCTTACAAGTAACTTCTGAACATCGGGTGCTAATGATTCAGAAAAATCTTTCCCACCAATATTACCAACCTGCACACATGTTTACAGAAAATGGAAATCTGTCAGACTACAAACTATCCAAAGATTTTGAATGCATATATAACATGGCGCATGAAGTCACAGCCAGCATATGCCAAGGAAGGTTGCACAGTCAACCTGTGCAATCTGTAATCTAACCTTTGACATATCCAACAGATTTGTAGGGCCAGTTACCTTTAGAAGCACCAGTTCACTTTAGAAGCACCAGTTCACAGATTTCATGGAGAATTAAACTAAATATTAAAAGGACAAAAAATCCATAGCATAAACCCTTTTACCTGTTCCCACCCCCACTTCAGGTTCAGTGGGATGTGCACAGGAATTATGAATAATCAGGCCATGCAGAACATGTAACCTCAAACATATTTAGGGTTCCAAGTTCACTTAAGCAGCACATATATTTACTCTTTGAAAAACCTCATTCGGAATCTGAATATGTTTAACCTCTAATGCTTGATAATTCTTAAAGAAAACACTTGGGCTGTGTTTGGTCATGGGTTTGGATAGAGATTTGAAAAAAGGAAGGGAAAATGTGAATAAATACAAGCTAATTTTTTTTTCTCTATTTCCCTTTCCCTTTCCAAATCTTTATCTAAATCCATGATCCAAACGCAACATAGGTATTTAAGAGTGATGAGTTTTAACCCACTGTATAAAAGGAACAAATTTAGATGCCTTACTTCAAGGCAAATTGACATCCTGCATTCCATAGGCAAGTAGCTACCATAAAAAATAAAAAAATAAAAAAATCAACAAAGGTTGCTTATTAATGAATCTTTTCAAATAGTAAAGGCCTATATGAGTGTTGGGCATGGGTGTATGTCTAAGTGTTGGATTCATGTAATTCTCATGTCCAAGAACACTAGGACACAATTAGATTTCAAATTTCTTAGATATTTATTTCATTATTTGGGTAAAATGACGTTTACAAACTACCATCCAATACTTCATGTATAAAATGGCAGTCCAGTTTATAGTTATGTTGTATACTAGACTACTTAGGCATACTTAATGAGTATGTACAACTAGACATGCCGGCGCATATCCTACATCATTACCCAAATATCGATTGTCCGACGTGGGTACTTCACAAATTCAGAGCCAGTCCATGTAACATAAGTAAAGATGGTGCAAAAAGAACGTGAACAAAACTCTCAGTGACAGCTATATAATACAAACTAACACCCAATCTACAGCAAGCAAAAAAAGTGGAATCCCTCGGAACACTGGACTCGCCGAGGCTAGTCAGAGCCTCTTTTGTATGTACATATATAACAGGGAGCTCATATAGACTCGTAATCTAAAGTTTAAGTTCCTTTCAATGGCATCTTCATTTTGCTTTTGACCAGAGATAAGGTACTGGCAACCAATTGGTCCTATTTCTCTCTTTCTATAAACTCAATATGAGGATGCAAAGTCTTCTAATCTGCGAAGTGAACTCAAATTCACAACCCCACAAGAGATACCAAGTTGCTAAGAATTCTTAAAAGACTACACATATCAAGAGCAGCACAAATGGATATATTTCCATGATCACCGACTTAGCAATTAGAAAAGGCGCCAAGAATCTCAGAACAACAGGAAAAAGTCTACTAATACAAAAGGCAAAAAAAAAGAGGCTTGCAAACGGTTGATACTTGTAACCTGTGAAAGAAAAAAATTGTTAAAAAATATAAATGAATTATGCAACATGCATGACAAAATGCATGCTAGCACACAGAACAAGCTGTACACAGGTATCATAATAACCTGAAAACAAAATTTCTGCTCTCACATACCTTCAATTATTTTAGAGAAATACAACCATTACCTTTGAAAAACACAAAGTTAAATGAAAGAAAGAAAGAACAAGCTGTGCACATGCATCATAATTCTACAAAAAGTAAAAGCTCAGGCTTTGAAAAGATCACTGCTTGGAATCTCTTCTAGCGTGCACAAATGTTAAGAGGATAAAATTGCTTTAGAACACATAAAATGTGTACACACATGACAAATGCATGATTCTGAACAGAACAAGTTGTACACAGGTGGCATAGTAGATTAAAACAGTAAAGTGTATTTATTTTGGAAAGAGAATAGAAGTAAAACAGGTAATCTGTAGCCATACCAAAGTCAATGCCAGGCACTGAAAAGTTTCATTCCGACCAATAATATCGTTGCGGACGGTATTAATTGCTAATCTCAAAAAATCATGATTCTCATTGAGCAAACATGATGTCACTATGTACCCAACCTGCAGCCATTGGTAGCATGATAGAAGTTAAATTAACCGATAGAGAGTCACAAAAGTCACAAACCCTTCCTAGGCACAGAAAGCAAGAAAACCTTATAGCACACATGAGCCCCAGCCAGATTAAGCACTAGCCACATATACTTAAAATTTTAAATAGCACTACAGAGCTCTAATGATACCATATCCAATTTCAACTTCCACGTATCCGTTTTACCATATCTTCGTTTCAAGATTATCTTCTACTGTTCTAACAGAGCATACATGCGCAAAACACATTTGCTTGAGTCAGCTCAGCAATCAAAACATTGAAAACAAACGTTCACATTGGATAACCAAAATTTGAAAGCTCGTTGGGCCTACAGTTAAAATAAAAGTTTCATCAGTGTCCGAGAAGTTTTCTTTCAAGTGCTGAAAACTTAAGCAAGCAATGAGAAAAGGAGGTATATCAATGAGAGATGATAGTGCCACAGCAGATTTAGTAACTTTTGATAAAATACGAAAGAGAATCCATTAGAAACACAAAATATATATTGAGGTTCTTAATGCATTCTTGAAAAACGGGATTTTAATAAAACTGAAAATTATGTACTAAATTAATAATGCTGAAATATTTAAAACAAAACTTTTATGTTGAAAATTTAATAATGAACTACTCAATTAAGATTATTTATCAAAAAAAATTCTCAATTAAGATTAAAATTTAAACCTATCTTGTATTTAGTGTATTCAACGCCCATTGATAAATCAAGTCCCCCTGACTTAAAATGATGCCCCTTACGTAAGTTTTCAAATTTAAGTAATACATAACTATCCATTATCAAATGCAATTAATTGCAAAATCATTGAATATGTCCCACCCTAAGCACTTAATTGCATTACTAGACAAGCGCAAGTGTAAAGGACATGAAGACCACACTTCAACAGACTATTAGATCACCACTGGTCCCAAAAACTTAAGTTGCTAGAAAATGGGCCCAACAATGTACATCAAGCTATCCAATGTCCTCCCCCACTTGAAATCCCGTCTTGCACATGGACATGCAAACAAGCGTACATAAAGAGAAGCAGAATGCAAATAGAAAACAAATGCAAATGCAAAGATTTGAACCCAAGACCTCACCCCAACCTGAGGCATACCATGTTAGATCACCACTACTCTCAAAGGCTTAAATTATTAGGAAATGGGCCCAACAATGATCGAGCTATCCAACAACCTCTACTTAGGGGTGCCCACAAACATTTGCATTGCCATCGTGACTATCAATGCATTTAGATATGCTTGTTTGATCTAGCACGAATACCTTCGTTTAAGAGAATATTTTCTGAGGGATTTCTTTAACAGGGTTGTGATAAGTTAGTTTAGTCTCGAACGTAGGAATTGCAAGGCACATAATTTGATTAAAGGCACTATTTGGTTATGAATGGAATCAGACAAAAATTTATTAGAATAAAAGAATAAATTGAGCCAGGAATGGACAATTACAACCATTCATTTTACTTGTTTGGGTGTAAGAAAATTGCCTAGGAAAGAAATGGCAATTGCAATAATCTACAATTTTGTTGGACTTTACATAGCAGGTGTTACTATCAGCAAGATGATGTAACAGATTTATAAAATATTATAGATACATGTTCAATATGTAATACTACAACACATCTATACATTTTGTCGCAATTCATTCCCATTGAAGAAACCCAATTATTTGATAATTCTGGATATACACAACACCTGCTTTTCTGGATACTTTGGTGCAGATATTAAAGAAACAGCTTCCATGTGACCAAAATCAACATCATAACCAAGCATAAAGATGTAAAGCATTTTCCAGACATATTTCTTCTTTTCATAAGGCGACAAACCCTGTCAAAAGAACAAGAAAGAGAAAAAATCAATAATGAAGGAGCAAGTCACCATGCAATTATCCAAATATTTAGGACTTAATGGGTTATTAGTCCCAAAAGTAGGACCTATTGCTAATTTACCCAAAAAAACTTAAACTTATGGAAATAAATAACCCAAAAGAATACAGTGAAACATCGTTTATTGTGAAAGATGGGAGCATCAAAGAAATCATTGCCAATAAAAAAAAAGCAAAACAAATCATGGGTAGACCATGGAGGCACCGAAAAAGATGATTTCAACAATGAATCTGGCAATTGAGTATATGTAACAGGATTTTGCACTTAATTTTTGATCACTCTAACATAGTCACTCTTTCGATTTTTGTCAAAGTTCCTTCAGAAAATAATTATTAAGCAAATAGAAAACAATCTACAAAAATCCAAGTAGTTATGGAAAAAAGGAAAAATGAAATAACAAAACAGGAGATTAGCGATGAGGTTAATCATTGAACTAAGGCCAAACAGACAAAGTGAGAGAGTGCTATAAATGAATTGTGTAATTAATGCATACCACGAGTCAGAAAGAAAATTTCTGCAAGATGACTTGAGGACTAGCTATGTTCTATAACACATGGTTTAGAAGTTAAGACACAATATATTTAAAAAAGAATGTAACTGATACAAGGATATGAAGGTAGAAGTATGGCAAAATAAGAAAAAAATGTAATTAGGAATAAATTAGTGAGATGGTAGAGTAGCACCTATTGAAAATCAATTAAAATGGTTTGACTATGCACAACGAAGATCAATACCAATTAGGAAGAGTGACACTGTTTACATTAAGAGTAATGCTAGGGGAAAAGGAAGACCCAAATTAAATGTAGCCTGAAAATAGTAAGAAATGACATGTAAAGCAAATCCTGTTCAAATATTGTTCAAAAGATGGTATTGTTACTTAACTGCAGCATATATGGCTTGCTGGAGAGAAATTGGAGCACGTTTGAGAATGAATATTAAGATAAGGCTACACTAATGCTAATTACTTCAAGGGATGTGCATAAAGCCTATGAAGCTGGATACTCCAAAAATATTGTCGTACAAGTAGGGTACGGCTGCACATGTACTAGGTACACAAAATATGTATCTAGTATGCAAAACACTTTGGGTACGGCATGGGTACTTCTATACTATGTTACACGGACTCTTCAAAATAAATCAAATACCCGTGTTAGACACATGACACTCGGACAAAAGTATGGGATATGTGTTGGATATTTTTTAATAGATACTTCTTATATAATTGTATATAACACTATTATTATATGTATATATTATTGTATAATTGCTATAAATGTTTTTTTTGACATTGTAAGTTGCATATAGTACCATTTTATCTCACATATTTGATTAAAAATATAAAATATAAAAATACGCCATTTTTTTGCCGAGTCAACATACCTTTAAATTTATTGTTTGATGAGTCCGACCTCTAGACACATACCCGTACCCAACACCTTTACCCGAGTCCATGTAACATTTTCTATGGGTACTTTGGAACATAAATATTAAAAAAAAAAATTTACTAGAATAATTGTATTGTGTCTATTTTTTTAAATTATTAAAAATATAATGAATACTTAAAATTCTTTTTTTGACCGTTACCAAAATACTTTAATTATTTTTTTACATTTGATTTTTTAATTATTATATGTCATGTACTAGTATAAATTATAATACCCACACCCGCATACGTGCTTCCTAGTTTTAGGGAGAGCAAAATGGCAACATTTTGAGTCGGCTTGAGATATGTATCAAAATTGGAGTTTCGGTGATCGAGGGCAAAGATCTAATAAAGATTTGATCTAGTAGGAATTATGTACAATTGTTTCAAATGGTCTCTTAATATCTTGAAAGTTGGGATTTTCTTTGTTGATAGCCTGTTAAGGCAAGATGCAAAGCTCCTAGTGTAGTTTGCTATAATTTTAAAAAAACTCTTTTTTACCAAGAACAAATAAATCTATTAGCCTATGGTTTGACTAAAATTACGGTCTGGTAAGTGCGGAGAAGGTACCCAGGGGACCAAACGAAACGGCACTTAAAGTGAAATACTTAAACCAATTTAAATAGTCGACCCCAAGTAGTTGGGACATGGCTTTGTTGAGTTTAGTTTATTTTATGCTTCCACCAAGGTTTTAATAGCAGTATTAGGGGAAAAAAAAATCAGTATCAGACACTGTGTATCGGTATCAAGAGTATCAAGTGATGTATTACACCATTGTGAGAATTTTATATATCAGACGAATTGGCCTTATATGTATTATGTATAGAGGGTATAGGTTATGAAGTGATAAGCACTGCGAACTGGCCAATACACATGCAATCTTCGTTCCTACTGGTACACCAAGTGTATTGGTATCAGTATCATTAGTGGGAAGATAAAATAACTAGTACATATATCGGCCGATATTCAAAACCATGATTTTCACAACTATTGTAATTTTATTACATTTCCCGCGTCTATTGGTCAATTAGTAGGCAGTATAACATGATTTGTGCATCTTTATGACATCTAGCATTTGAATGATTTCTAAGGTTGTTTTTTTTTTTAATTTAAAAAACTTGTGTTGTAACTTTAGTCTAATAGTCTTATCATAGGTCAAGTTATGTTATAAATATCTATATTGGGTAGTCACAGTTTCTAAGGCCATATTTGATATAATATTTTAAAACTACTTACATTCTCAAAGTTTAAGAAAAAAATGATGAGGTACAAAAAAATGCATCCAACAAAACTATTTTGAAAATGTTGATTTCATGAAAATTTTCCGAAAGCAACCCAATTCAAAAAGAAATATTAACTCTTTTCTAAATTTTAAATTTAAAAAAAATAAAAAATGAATTTCTGAAATAAAAAATGAAGCAAAATGATTGTGCTTTCAAGCTTCCCAAGTTTTTTAGAAACTCAAAATGAAAACTGAACCACAAAAACTGAGAACAAACTATGAACATGATACAAGTAGGCCCTTAAGCTCCTAATTTAGAACAATCTAAGTTCTAGTAGAAGTATGACAATTATAGTAGCCTATAAATATGCATGTGATCTTTCTATTCAACTACAATTACATTATGGGAATTTAGTGTGTTTGTGTAATCTTATTCAAGCTTTGTAACAATGTGGTCCTCCTTTGTCTATTTTTCTTCTTTTTCTCTTTCTCTTTCTCTTTCTTTCCTTGAAAAATAGTGAACTATTGGTTCTCAATTTATTGCTCACAGCTCCTCTTTAGTGCCAAAAGTCTTCCCTTTTGTTTGAGTGTTGAAACTCTTCCATGCAACCCTATAAAACCTTGGAGTTGTAATTCAAATCTCACTTTCTAACAAATATCCAAGTTCCCAGGTGCAACCTTATTGAAGGGTCCGAATTGCACACCTTCCTCCAAATACACAAACTAAAGTTGTAGCACAAAGCTCTAGGTCAGTCATCATCCAATTAAATCTAGCTACAAACGGTGAAATTAACCTTTTTTCCTATAGTTACTTACATGAATCCTTGATAGTAAGTGCAAAACATGAAAAGCTAGCCCAAGTCTATACTCAATGCAGTCCTCTTCAATTTTCTTTCTCTTCTTCTACATCTACTATATGAACTCAAAATCACCAACCATTACAGTCCACATTCACCGATTATTAAATTTTATGGCTTTGCTGAATTAAATGCAACGAATTGGAATTATTTCATTGTTCTTTTTCAGCTACAGCTAACAAATCTATAAAATACATATATACATATATAGAGAGAGAGAGATAATTATGAAACCCTAACCTTTTCGTTTTTGAAGCGGTTACGGATATTGCCGAGCTCTTTATCGACACGAAGGCGTTCTTGTTCTTTGTTCTGGCAATTGCGAATGTCGCTGATGAAAACAGAGAGACCTCTCATGCCGGACAACGCCATCTCCGCGCAGATCCAACCGAGAGGACGCCTCTGTGACGGCGATTCTCTCCCTCTCTCTCTCTCTCTAGATCGTGGCCGTCCGTTGGGGAATCGAAGGGGATTAGAAAAGCTATATCTTGGGGATAATGGATGTCTCAGAGAATGTTCTTCTGGAGAGAGAAGATAGAAGATGACAGTGATCCAGAGAGAGGGAGAGAGAGAGAGGAGGACTGAGGAAAAAATTTGGAAAAAATGTTGTCAGGCGGTGGGGAAGACGACTTTTACCATTCGGATTTCATCATTTCGTTTTTTAATTTAATTGAATTTTTTAATATTTTTACACTATGCTTTATCTTCGTGTCTTTGTTTTCTTTAATGATTAATGATTGCGTATGATATAACCGGGTCATAGTAACGGTGGTGGGCCATCTTTTGAATTATAGGACCCTACTAGGAGTTTAATGGGAAATTTGACTATAAATTTCTTTTACCTTCTTTTCATTATTAAAAGGATTAAGAAAAAAATTAAATTTTTTAAATCCTTTTATAATTATAAAATCTTGTATAAAGGACAAAATTTATTATTTAAATATTTTTTTAGACTATTATACTCTCAACTAAATCTTTCCACCTTCTCCACCCACTCTCTCTCCACCTTCTTGGTCTCTATGACTCTGGCCAGCCAAAATCGAGTTCATCTAAGCCTAAGATTCATTCAATCTTTGACCTAGAACACTGACCTGGTTCAAGCAATCACAATCTGACCTGTGTATTTGAATTGAAGGTTAGTTTGAAACTTAATCTAATTTGCGTCTGTTAAGAAACCAAGGACTTCATCGCAAAATTGATCCGATTTGACAATCAACCCGAATTCAAGCTTCTGAAACTCACGATTACGAACTGGAGTCCTTCGCGATCTGACCTTGGATTCTCTCTTGTGATTCGTTGCTCTTTGAGTCAACTTCGATGAGAACTTTGGATTTCAAGTTCTAATTGGAATTGCGATTTCAGTTTGCATCTGGCTTAAAGGTTGCAAACTCTAAGTTCGAACGACTTGCAGAACGACTTCACTAACTGAATCAAAATCAGACTTGTGTTTGCTGTCTTGAAGCGAAATTAGACTCAATTTGAAGCTTCTATTGCAATTTGAAGATCTATTGAGTTCGCAATGACCACGTGGAGAAGAGTGCGGGTGGAGTTGTTTGGTTATACATATTTTTTTAAACACAGATTTGAGTTTTGAATATATATATATATATATATATATATATGAGTGTTGTTGAACACATGTATTCTTTTCATTGAGATTTGTGATTATTGATCGAGTTTTAGAAGTTTTTCTTCTCAATTAGATATGTTGATTTGTTGATTAATTTATTTTGTTTTTGTTTGTTTGTTTATTTTTTATTTATTTTTGTTGTTTTTTATCTAATTTCATTTGACAGAACCAGAGTAAAATTTTACTTTCATACAGAGTAAAATTTTACTTTTGTGTAGAATCTAACATTTTACTAGTTTTTCAGAGTAAAATTTTATTTTTATACAGAGTAAAATTTTACTTTTAGTTTCAGAATGTAACATTTTACTCTTATTTAGAGTAAAATTTTACTTTCATACAGAGTAAAATTTTACTTTTAATTTCAGAATGTAAAATTTTACTTTTAGTTTCAGAATGTACAATTTTACTTTTATACAGAGTAAAATTTTACTTTCATACAGAGTAAAATTTTACTTTCATACTTTTAGTTTCAGAATGTAAAATTTTACTTTTATACAGAGTAAAATTTTATTCTGAAATATATAGTGAAGATGACTTAATAGGAGAGCTGATAGATATGAGGGTAATATAGTAAAAGAAACAAGTTTTAAAATATTAGGAGGTTTTGAAAGTACTTATAAAATTCTTGTCCTTTTGAAAGACAAATTAGATAGTGATGGAGCTATCACCAAATCCCTCAAGTTTAATCAACCAATCCAAATTCAATTGCAAATTTGTGACAGATTTTGAGTATAAATAAATAGATAGTAAAAAAAAATTTCCATAGTTTTGTATTTTGTCTTACTTGATTTTAATCTTAGTCTTTTTATATCATTTTTTTATTTAATTTAATTGATAAACAAAATATATTCTTAAAAACAAAATACAAACAGTTGCACCATACTTAGGGCAGCAAACAAGTCAAACTTATTTGAACTTGAGTTTGGCTCGTTTATCAAAAGAGCCTAATAGCTCGAACTTTGTTCATTTACTAAACGAGTCAAGCCGAACTCTTCTGTGACGATTTTTTTAAATTATTCTTAAAATTTAAAAATTAATAACTTTTTCTGTGACGATTTTTTTCTACTAAAACTCATAATTAGTGACAAAAATTTCATACATGAAACACCCCACTTGAAAATGAAATACACTAAAAGCAACCAAAATAGTTTTGACGACAATTATTTCCTTGATAAAAAGAGGTTGTTAGTCCTTGCTCAATAAGTTCAAAATGAATTGATCTGGATCCTAAGGTTTAGAATTGCGGACAATTGAAAGCCTCAATCAAAGTAATTATCATGATGAAGAAATAATAGGTACACATCCGTGTAATTTTTTTGATTTATATGTTAATTTTTGCTCAATTACATATGACTATTTTTCTTGGCCAACTTTGCCCCTACATCTCCCGTTTTTTCCCTGCACTGACGAAGAAGGGGAAAATGACAAGTTTATTTCCCTGCCCTATTCTAACCCACCCCATTTCGATTGAATTTATTAAGTAATGTTTTGGAAAGATGATAAAAAGTTAATTTTTTAACTTTTTTTTACTATTTAATGTGAGAGGTGATGTGACTTAAAATTGGTAAAAAGCTAATTTTTAGCTTTTTTAGTCCCTTAAATACATTCATATGTAAATAATATATATATCTTTTAAAATTTTTAATATAATAAGATTAAATCACTAAAATAATACACTTACCATTCATTTTACTTAATTATTTTTCATCTTACATATCTTAGTTTTTATTAATTATAAATTATTATTCATAATATATCTCTAATTATTATTTTTATATTTTAAGTTACAAAATTAATCTGTCTTCACCCTGCCCTTGACACCAACCCGATTTGTTCTACTTATGATATGATAGAGTGGGAGACAACAAACCAACCCCAAAACCGCCCTGTAACCATTCCTAACCTCAATGAATTAGCTTAAAGTTCACTTCAAGATTGATTTTAGTTGCTCAACTATAACATGCCTATTAGGTCCTCCCCTTTAGTTTCTTTTATTATTAATAGAGGAAGTCTATGTGCGGCTCAAGTGGCAACAACATCTTTTCTAACCAAATCTAAGCTCTTGACTTTGAGGCTCTAAGTGGTAAGAACATTTTTTTTATACCAAATCTAAGCTCTTGATTTTGAGTCTCATTCTTGACATAGAGAAAAGCAAAGGCTTATAGTATGGATAGATTATTATTTTTTAAAGTTTCTGTTCTTAATCCAACTCCAACCATTAATAGTTACATTTTCCTATTATAATTAAACAACTTCCATTTTTTCTTTTGGGTAAACTACTAATAGGTTCTAACAATTAGAAATAAGTCATATTAAAAATAAGTCATAATAAAATTGTCGCTAAAAATAAATTTTTTATGACCATTTTTTTTATATATCATTAAAAATTGACAATTATAAATTGTTGCTAAAACTGACAATTAATGATGTTTTTCTATGACAAATTTTTTAAAATGTCACTGAAAGTTGAAAATTAATGACTTTTTTTGTGACGATTTTTTTCCGCTAAAACTTATAATTAGCGACAAAAATTTTAAACTATTTTTAAAAATTAACAATTAGTGACGTTTTTAAATAATGTTTAATGAAAAACGTCATTAATTCTCACATAATTCATTGAACAATAAGTTCACCAATTAAAACATGGGCGCTCTGTTCAAAAGTCCAATTTGTTTTTTTTTTTTTTTTAGTCTAAGCGCTAAAACATTATGTCTATAAAGACAAGGTTCTACCAAATGATCAAACTACTTTCATATATACATATATATACTAGCGGGTGGCACACGCAATGCATGTGCAATTTAGATAAGTAAGCATAATACTAAATAATAAAGAAATTAATATCATAATATGTATGTTTTCTAAAAAATAAGAGTATTCTTAATGAAACCCAAGATTTTGGTTCAAATCTTACTCACACCTTTAAATAATAATTTTTTATTTTAAGATAGAAAAATTTGCCAACCATCACATTATTAAACATCAAGTCACGTGCTCACATCTATTTTTTTATTTTAAGATTGAAAAATTTTACAACCACCACACTATTAGACACCAAGTCATTTGCTCACATCTATACTATTATATCAGTATATTCCCAAATCAAACCCACCACACACACACACATACTCTCTCTCTCATCACTTTACCTCCTCCGCAGTTGTCGCTTCCTCCACTGTTGTTGCCACCACCGCTGCTGCCAGTACCTCTTATTTCAAATCAACTTCGCAAATCGACGAATCTACTGCCATTATCACCAGATCGGACCTCTACACACGGTTTTGTTGATGGTTCACTCACGTTTGAGTTCGCCTCTGCCGCCCTCCATTGTTGATTACAACATCCAAAAGGCGTATGCTCCACCTCATCCTTCGTCTTCGCGACGATATGTAGATCTTCATGAAGACTCTCACCAGAAAGACGATAACTTTGGAAGTTGAGAGCTATGACAACCCTCACCACTAATTAGTGCTAATCTATGATTAAGCATGTTAACTGACTGATTGACTGAAATTCTGAACTGATTAATTTAATGTATTAGTTTAAATGCATTTCTATCTGTTGACCGTTAAATGATCTGTTCATGTTATATGTTTTAAACTGCAAATTAAAGGCCTTATCGGCGGTCGAATCTGAAATTGATTAATGCTTTGTGTTAATTAGAATTAATGTGATTTTATGGTATATTTAATTGAAAATTGATTTGGTATGATTAAATTGGATTAAATAAGCTAAATTACATTAGTTGGACTTATTTACTCTTTTGCCACCTAGTGGGCCACTTCACCAAATGTTGTTTGAAGCTTAGTCTTACTTCATTCTTCACTTTCGCTAAGAGACCAACGTGAGAGAGACCTTGAGAGTTGGAGACATTGAATTCATCTAGAATTCTTGCTTGAAATTAGAAGACTTGAAGAGAGATTGCATGTTTGAGCTTCCATATTTGAAATTGAAGACCTAAGGTAGGATATTCATCATTTAGT